CATGGCGATGACGTAAAGGAGACATGACAGGAGAGGACCATAGGCTGCGTAGTGATATTTGCTTAGTTTAGGATTAGGTGGTTTTTGCATGATTGTTTGGCAATAAACTTTTGTTTCAAGTGAATTGAGGGGAGACCCCACCTATTGTTTAAACTTGACTCGGAATAAGTGTTTCTTTTATTTTCCTCCATTAATTGAAAACGTTTAGTTGAAATAATGGATGTTGCCCGATGGTGTTGTCCCGGGGGGACGCTTGGATGAAAGTTTATAGAATTGATGTTTTATTTTTTTTTGTTATAGTTGATGTATCGAATTGAGTTGGAACTATGTTTCTATAACTTGTTCACAGGGAGTTGTCTATTTCGAATTTAGAAAATAATATTTGACAGGGGAAAATGAATAACGTTATCTAGAATAGTGTAAAATGTTCTGGGGCGTTACAATTAGAGTCGGAAGAAATGTGAGATTTGAAGCATTTTGAAGAGTTCTATTTTGCCCCACATGTCAACCATGCATGGAGGATAGATTTTCGGTAAAATTAGTCAGCCAAACGAGTTAGAAAGCAATGGAAGGCCACATTTTTCTCAACTACACAACCAACTTCAAGCTGCCTAACATCCTCTCCACTCAATGCTTTTAAATAATAATTTCCAAGCTTACCCCTCTTTGAAGATGGAAGTCTCTAGAAGTCACTAGGTTAAGAGATTTTTCAAAGCTTGCTCAAGAAGCTTTCCCTGGAGAGTTAAAAGAACTAGAATCTATCCATAGAATTTTGCTTGATGAGCAAGCATGGATGGGAGAGGTGAGCTAAAGTGTGAGTGTGAGTGTGAGGCTTGGTGAGATAAAATAGAGAGAGTTTAGTACAACTTTTTTAGTGTGTCAGGAGTTTTAAACTTTTAAACTAGAGTGAGGTATCGAAGCCTGAAGGTAGGAATAATCATATTCATCTTTTCTACTTTCGATGCTGTCTGACCTTGGTATAGTTAGTTTATCCTTTCTGTTTTCCAGTATAACCTTCCAGTAATGGGCGTAGTTCCCCTTCCTTGAATTTAGCTGGATCACCTGTATAACCTTCCAATAATGGGCATAGTTCTCCTTCCTTGAAGTTAGATGGATCACCTTATAGGTATGACCCCCTATATACAACACCAACAACTACGAGCGGTCACAGGCAAGGCTACGCGCATAGTAACATACAACTGAAGAACGACTTCTGAATATATCAGATGAGATTTCTTTTTTGCCACTACCCTGTATATAGAGTAATACCCTGTAAAAGTGTTTACAGTCTAAGACATTATATCTCCTCTAAAGAGAA